AAGGTGAATCCATGCACCGACCGTTGCGGGCACCACTTGGTCGACTCAGGACCAGGCCCAAATTGGGAAGAAGGGCTTCGGGCCCGGGGCGAACCTGCGAGGTCCGATGCGCTCAAACAAGATCCTGTGATATGGGCATTCCGTGGGAGCGCAACTGGCGGGGCGGGGTGGGGTGGGGGATACCACCGATTAACGAATTGAACTTCTCCCCCCTATAGCCCGCAGGGAAGTCCATGATTCTAAAGCTGGGGCATCAGGTAATCATGGCCCAAGGGTTAGGCTGAAATGGGCCAAGAACATCCTTCTTCAAAGCTGGAAAAACATAATGCAACTATGGCCTGAGGGTTGTCCTGCAACTATGGCCCAAGGGTTGTGATTTACCAAGGTCGTTTTTCAGCTGATCCTGCAACAGTAACACGATGTCACTCTGGCCATCGTTGACAAAAAACCATGGTGAGAAATCTCACCTCTCTTCTCTTCAGTCAAAACACGACAAAATTGCAATCTATTAATCCAAACGACTGACTGCCCTCAAACAAGCATCGAAGTGCACAAACTAGACCGAGACACTGCCGCGCTTCACTGGAAACCGGGTGAGTGCACTTCCAAAATTGTAAGCGGCACTCAATATTCATTGTGTCCCCAACTCACATTGGATTTTGCGAGCAAGCTCCATGTCCTGATGGCTGCTTGGTGCGTGTACCCGATGACGTTCCCCTGACTACAGTACATGACGCTAAGTACAGGGTTGCTCGTGTGAAAGGGTCAGAGCCACTGAGACGATTCCAAAGGCTGCAGGGGTTGAACCAGCGCTAGCGTTCTGACAAGCATTTCTTTCTGGCACACCGCCTTCATAGGAAGAAGGCCACCCACCCACCCACCCCCCGCTCCGCTGGAACTCTGGTTCAACGGGTTCTTAAGTTTGCTTCTCAATGTCTCCTGCTACGAATCCGCATGATCACCGCCTGCCTCAGGCTAATGGGATGCGGCCTGGCCAGCGAAGGGTGAGAAATGAAACCCGCCGGGACCCATGGAGGATCATGTTTTTCCTTCCAAAGCGCCCTGGTGTCAGGTTTCATGGTTATTTTTGGGCGGGTATGTCCAGTGACCGCCTTGTGGGGAGGGTATCGACTGCCTAAATCAGTTAATTGTTTCAGTTACATCAAATCATGCCAATGCTTCTTTAGTTCCTTACATGAACATACAATCTGAAGCTTGGAAAGAACTTCCGGCGTACGCCAACTAATTGAAAGCTATCTCTCTGACAGGGGACAAGAGAAGAACAAGCACGTGCGAAAAGAATGCTTGCGCGTGCGGGGGCAAAGAAATGTCCAAAAAGTGCAGCCCTCGGGTTCGGCTCCCGATGCTCGAAAGTTCGAAGCGCTGCAATCTGGCAAGGCCAGGTACAGGTTTCGTGACAGGCGAAGCACCTTCGCAAGGTCAGGCATTTTCGCAAGTTCAGGTACATATTTCCAGGCAGGCGCAGCACTTTTGCAGCGTTAGGGGAGAGAGAGAGGGAGGGAGAGAGAGAGAGAGAGAGAGAGAGAGAGAGAGAAGAGAGAGAGAGAGAGAGAGAGAGCGAGAGAGGAAACAAAAACTAAGAGAAACATAACAGAAGAAGACAAAGCGAAAGTGAATAACAAATGACAAAGAGAAAGAGAAAGAAGAAGATACAAAGAAAAGAACAAGATAAATCGAAGATAATGAGAAAGGATAAGAGAACGAGAAGAGAAAGAACATGGGAAAGAAAAAACAAAGAATTAATGAAATCATAAGCGAAAGAGAAAGAGAAAACAACAACAAACAATTTTAAGACTTCCCGCCACCGGCTTCGCCGGCTCTACTGGAATGAAATTCAAAGGCAACTGGTTTTTGTGTGTTTTTTCCCCGGCCGGGAGTACGGGTTTTGACTTTGGTATTGATACTTGTGATGCTAGGCGAAGCACAATCTATCTGCGCCGCTGGCATCAGTGCCAGTCAAGAACTATGTGTATTGACATAAGATTGACACATATGACCGGAGATTTCTCAATGCGGTGGAAAGGGTGTTTGACTCAAGGAACGTGCTGAGTCTCATTGAAGCTTGTTGGGTCTAGGAGAAGTAGGTGTTCCGAACCCGCCTCCCAAACAAGAAAAACTAAAAACAACACTTTGGCCCCCTTTTCAAGTATGTAGTCTTCCGGATCCCCAAAGAGCTTCTGAGGTGAGATTTGAAGTGAGTTAAGTATCCGATTGTGAAGCGGCAAAGTCCAAGCCAGTCCCAGGTGTCCTCAGTGACCTGGGATTTCACTACTAAATGATTCGAACCAAGCTCACTATCAGTGCCTCGGATCTTAACCGAACTGACCCACAAGGATACCTTTGGTCCGTCCACTGTGACTCTTTGGCTGTTGCTTTCACACCATGTAGATCCTAGTTCGACAGGGTTACCCTAAATGGGTCGCATAGGCTACCGCAATGCACGGGTGCACCAGGCGGTCATTCCTCCGAGAGATTCGGCAGAATCGTGCCAATTGCCCAGCGACCCGGGCAATTGAAAAACAAGGACCCGTTTTGGGGTGGACAATTTCTGGCGGCAACCCACCAAACGAAAACTGACAGGATTTCTCAGTGAAAGTCTCCTCTCCTCACCCTGCCTGAATGGCGCAGGTGCTGCAGCACCTCACAGCGACAGGAGGAAATCATCGTCAAACACTGCCAGTGGTAACCTTCTACGGATTTCCTGGGTCTTGTAAGTTCTCATACCACAAAAGACATGAACCTCACGGGGGAATCTCTCTTTACCACCTTCCATTTTTGAGAACCAACTGTGCAGCTTTTCCCAGCGGATGAATGGACAGCCTGCGTTTGGCCGCGAGTGATGTGTGAAGACCAAACACATCTGCACGGGTGTCACAACATCGTGGAGCATGCAGGTTGCTCTAAAAGGACAGAGAGGAAACCACGCCCTGTAGCGCATCCTTCTGCCTTGAGGCTCGTTGCATCCTGCCTCTCGTAGTTTGTGTTCTGGTGTTTCTTCTAATTGCGGCTTTGCATTCCGAGAAGAACATCAAAGGCAGAGATGACGGCTTTCCCAACTCTTTTGTGAACGTAAATGTGGATTCTGGCAGAAACTGATGGGTGGATCCCGAACAATGATGGTGAGGGCGATGGTGGACCAACCTACTTGAATGGTTGGCAGTGTGAACAGCAAAATCCGACAAACTCCTTTCCGTAACCCACTATCAGTGCTCTCTTCATGAACAGTGACCCAGTTCGTTCCCATTCCTTCAACTCTCAAGATAGTGGGTCATCATATAGCCATGAGCACAGTGTGGCCCTCGACTTAATCATATAGGTCACCTTCATTCACGCGATAGATCAAGTGCCTGTAAAGGTGGTCACGACTGTGCGACACAGTGATGCAGCATCTGACAATGATATCGCCGTGCTCCCATTAATATCGACCTTTATATGTACATATAAAACAACAAGAAATGGCAAACTGCGGCAAACAGGGCAGAGCCAATCACTTTCAGGCACAACCTGCAGACCACACCTAAGCCAATTGCCTGATTTGACCGTGACATTGCGAGACAGTGTCACAACAGCGCAAAGCGCCAGCCCCAATCACACCTCTCAGCATGTTTGCCCCGCACAGCTCTACCATAGTTTGCAGTTGGTTTACTTGGGTTAACTAAGATAAACATAAGACGTATCTCAGCCTCAGCGGACTGAAATTGCGAAAGTTTATGAAGTCTGTGTGGCCTCGTGTTGCCTCCTGAGCGTGCCGTTCCCCCCGGACTTCCCTTGCTCCCAAAGTGACGAAGGTACTCCAACAGAAGGTCCAATCTCAAGAGAAGATTCCTTCACGTGCGGCCCCCTTCTTGGGTTCCATACTCATGAATGCTCAATAGGAGGTCTGAAAAACTGTTGTACAAAAAAAAATCCTCTTTTTGGCTTCCTGTAAGCCAAAAGACATGGGCCATTTTCAAGCAACTGTTTGGGAATCCTGATTTTCTTCGCGCCTCCGTCGCCGCTGGTACCTTGGCCGCTGCCGGTAGCCTCCCAGGGCGTAGGAAATGAGCGCCCAATTGCCATTTTGGTTCTACTACCGTGGCTATACGTTGGTTTACACATCCTTGTAACCCCAATCAAACCAGGTAGTTAAAATGGCCATGTCCTCAGCAACAAAAATGCAAATTCTACAAGGGATGAAGTGAAGGGCCCATGGTGAGCGCATTTTGCTGCGTCAACTCCCGGCAGAGATCCCGTGCCACATTCGCTCCACTTCCCGGGTCCGACTCACTCGGATGCCTCGGAGAAGCTGCGGACCTCGAGAGTCGCAGGTCGCCGGAATGGGCATTCGGTTTGCCAGTTTGTGTGTTTGCAAAAAACAGAACATGATAAGAAAGGGACCTCATGATAGGGACCTTCACAAGGGCACGACTTCAAACCTCCCGGGGGGGCAGGTCACGGTTTAATTCGCCCAGATCGCACTTGGTGTACATGTGTGTTCAGTGTCTTGAGTTGCGAGCAAGCGCTGGTGCAGGCGCCCAGAGTCGACTCTGAAAGGCAGGTACCTGGCACTTTCGCGTGGACGAGGCTTCATATATTCCAAATTCCTTGTTTGGATGACCCAAATCGGTAGCAAATGAGATGGGCTCTGGGATGCCGCGCACATGATTGTCCTCCGGTGCAAGCTGGAACCGGAACCCGTTTGCTGGAACTCGTTTCGGGTGCGCTCACATTGCTTGCTTCTCGTTGCCACTAGGGGGGACTTGAGACTTGCCGCAATGCTTGGAGCAACTCGACTCAGCAATGTATGAATTCAAATATGGCTTCAGGCATTTTTCCCTCAGGGAGTGGTTTTGTCATTCGAATCAACTGCTTCCCCGCCTCCTCAAGCAGGTGAACGGGAGCTCTACACAGGTATGCAAAAAAGCATGAATTGGATTTCGCAAAAAGATCTCCCAATGTATTTCTTTCGGAGATACGCAAAACAGGTGCTCAGCAACCACTCACTGTTCACCTTCCTCCACCCAAATGCCGTCCAGTCGAAATGGCTGCTTCAACTCCACCAACAAAGAAGATACAAATTGCGGTACTTGGGCAAATCCTTTCTTGGCCAGTTCCTGTCTCATTTGCTCCAACAACTCCGCATAGGTCACCTCCTGGCCTCGTTGCAAGGCTTCCACCAGGGCAGATGTCAAGGCTCCACCGGCAGAGCCGGTGGTTGCCGCCAGACCAAAGGAGCTCACATCCGCCACGTCGGCGCTGGTCTGATCGGAGCGGCAGCCGGAGATGGCCACAACCTCACCCATGGCCAGGCCTTCGTTCTGGGCCGCGTCGGTGACGAAGCCGGTGGCAGAGCCATCTTGGTACATCTGCCACACATTTTTGCCCAAAGATCCTACGTCACTGAAGAGTTCCTTGGAAGAACCTGCCGCCCATTTTTCGAAGTCGGACTTCCATCTCACCTCCATGGCCATCCTCACGGCTTCTCCTGCCATGGCTTTTTGGAGCTGATCTTCAGTCCCAACGAAGATGTAGGGCAAATCCAAGGCTCCAGCGCTGTGGCAGCTATCCAGAATGCAGGTCAGGCGACAGCCATGGGGCAACCGTTTCACCACTTTCTCGAAGAGCTCAGTGTCTGGCAACATGCCCGCTGTTTCAAAGTCCAAGGGCACCAATGTCTCATGGTAGCCACCGCCTTCAGCAGGTTCCCTGCCCCCATGGCCAGAGTAATGCAGCAGCAAAGCATCTCCTGCTTGAGCATCAGCCACCAGCCACTCTAAGGCTTCCAGCATGTTGGCTTTCGTTGGCTTGGGGCCATCCCAACCCTGTTCATCCAGCAACACCTTCTGGCTGACCCCATCAGACGCGAATCCTAGCTTTTCCAGCACTGGCATCATGCGACGCACATCGTTGGCACATCCATGAAGTTCATTTTGTGTGTTCAGGTAGTTGCATCCAATCAGCAAACTTCGGCGTCGTCCTGTCAGGGCCTTCTGTGTCACTGCCTTGTGCTGCGAACCCATGGCAGATCGATCCAGTAGCCCAGCTTCTTCAGCCCGGTGTTCCAGGGCCTTCACCACGGTGCAAACCTCCTCCACAGTGGCCATGGGACGCCCAGAAAGAGTGGAACATACTTTCCCCATCGAGTCGGGACGCAATTTGTTTTTTGGCTCTGGAGTTGGATCTGAGCAAACGAACGCTGGCAGGATGTGACATCCTCAAAATCACCCTCTATGATGGTAGTCTAAAGAGAAACAACCGATAGTCTAAAGAGAAAGAACCCCCAGAAGGAAATCTTGAGAATGGGTCCCTCGAAATGCAACCACTTCCATGGACCCAGTGTTTCACTTCTCTTGCCGCAGGCCTGGTAGCTGGTGACGGCACGCTGGATGCCTGCAGCAAAGCGCCCAACCGCACACCCGCTGTACCAGGATTGCTCTCATTCGACCCTGGCATGGAACATTAGCCTGTGGTAGAGGAAAATCAAACAAGAGCCAACCCAATTGCTACGCTGAGCAACCTGCCACACGGGTCCCGGAGATCTCGGATGCGGAGTACCCCCCTCTGGCGGAGGGGGGGGGAAAGCTGGCTTCGTTCTTGAGCGAGGCAAGGTCTCGCATGAGCCATGGTCAAAATTACTTGTTCTCCCAAGGGGACAAGGGACAATCAGTCAGTCGCCTGCTTCTTGTCCGAGCATGAGTGTTCCCCCATCACCCATGTCCCCGTCCCTCCCAAATGAACCATGTATTGCTGGAAAATTTGACCCAACCTCACATGGCAATCACGTGCGTTCTACGACACTCATCCCGTGCGTAGCCGCTCATTTCGCTGCCTGACCAAGCACCGCAAGTTCGCCGCAGCGCCCACATGGCAGCTTGCCAACGCGCAGGCCACAGAAAAAGGGCGATGTCTTTGGGGTTGGGCAGTACATGTTCAAGTGATAAAATAAATGCTGTTGGAACATCCTACCAGTCAGTCTTGGGTTGCAATGATAATACAGGTTGTCTAGTAAGGGTGTGTTTCTTGTCTTCTTCCCGCCCGGAGCAACAACAAGAACTCGCCTGGTCTCTTTGGATGATTTGGACCATCTGGCCGGCATGGTGCGTGACTGGCGGGGTGGTTGGCTTGGGTTTGGCTGTTTCTGCTTTGAAATCCGCGCTGGATAACTTGGTTGCTTTGGTTTGGTTTCGGTGGTTGAGACTTCTTCGAGTGGTTGGGTTTAAGTTTCGGTAGTTTGGGTTTAGAGTGACATTGTTGCCTTGGAGGCAGTTGCCCGCACGCTTGAAAGCTGCCCAAGCACATGACAGAACGCAACTGACGCTTCCAAAGACATGACCAGTAACAGTATATTCACAGCCAAACATTGCCAAGCTACGAAAACATACTTTGAACGCCTACTCTAGATAAAAAGGCAAGAACCCCCCTCAACCAAGGTACATATTCCGGCTCCTGCATGACAATCACGGTTGCTCAGCTGGCGATCTCAACCACATGAGTCCCGGACATATTAATCCATTTCCCCAAAAGGACATGCGCAAAAGTGATCCCCAGAGGTTGTCTTCTTGTGGGGAACTTGCGTTGTCCCCATTTCATCCCTAAACTAATAGACTACCCTGACATTGTCGCTGACTGCTGTGTAAAGCCTGGTCTGCCAAACGTCACAAACCAGAGACACACGTGCCGTACAATTCTCTTGGTAACTCGCGAAAGCGTCACATTACCATCAAAAGCCTGAAGGAAACCCATCCTAATTTGTTGTGGGCAGAATTCGTGAACACTGCTGGCAAAGCTGAATCAAGCTGCAGACCAAACACAAAGCCCTTGCGGCTCAATCTAGCCTGCCAAGTTCTACATGCTAGTGAGTGAGTTGATGCCATACTTGGGGCCAATTGACAAGTGACAAAGATGAAGCAAAGTTGCCAAGACACCTCCATGGCACGACTTGAAGCAAAAGAGCACCAAACTGAGTTCAGCAAGTAAAGCCCCGATGCCATGTTCTGCAAAGGTGGACCCGGGGGCAAAGATAGCGGGTGTGTCCCAAAGGGGCTGATCCACAGTGGCACATGCTTCCTTTTGGTTTACCTTTCAACACCATCAAACAAAGGCCCCTATTCTGAGACATTCCCGCAGTGTTGCCGCTCTCGCGCGCATTTTGAACCGCCTGTGCTTCTGCGACGGCAGCCAGCACACGGGCAAGGTAGTGCATAGCATCCTGGAGCTTGGAACAAGCGGGGCCTCCCCGGAGGTTCTTTGAATGCACTGATATTCGGTCCCGAACAAACAACCAAACGAGCATGAGTGTGTCTTTCTGTGGCGGGCACTGTGCAACTGCAGGCGGGCATATATTGGGAAATGCCCCAGCCGGCAACTGAGGTCTGTCAAAACCCGCCATACCACTAAAGACGCGCCAGGGCCAGAAAATGCTCTTCCCATACAAGACATGGAAAACTATAGCATCCCCTAATTTGTAGGGAATTTAGGTAGTCTCCTTGTCCCTCCCAAAATTAACATGGGCCGGTTTTCCTGACTGAGCCCAAACAACTCAGAGGGTTGTGAAGGCCACACAAAAAACAATCAGGATTGGGTGGGGACCGGGCCAGCAATAAACAAGTACCTCCCGAAGCGCATTGCTAACACACCTCAAATGTCAAGGCAAACCAAGGTAATCCCTCCATACACAGGGGTGTTCGTTCCAACACACCTCCCCCGGTTATCCAAGTTTGGAGAGGCATCACTACCCCCAATGAACTGGGTTCATTGAAGTGACATTCAGACAATTACCTTCTAAATGTTGGTTCAAAGGGGAAACCACTCGAAGAAAAAGTATCTCTTGAGAAGCCCTCAAACTGGTCATATGTAAAGCGAACCAAATTAACCCAGGTGGCAAAGGAACCTCAAACGAACACCTAAAGGTCCGAGTGGGTACTTAAACCCCTTTGGCCCTCAGGATGCCAAAACAAGCCATCCTCATGGCGGATACCCCAAAGTAACTGGGACCCGCATCACACTGTGCCAATCTCATATGCTGATTCAGAGCCATTGCAAGCTGAGCCAGTGCAGCCCAACAGACCATCAGGAGGTCCCATGTGAGGTTTTTCTGGTTTCAACAACGAGGCTCAGGTGCGCCCGTTCCTCGTGGCTCAGCCAGGTGCGCGCCAACCGCGCCCCCCGGCGCGCCAAGCTCCGCGCCAGGCTGGGCCGCAGCAGCAGGCGCTGGACCTCGCGAGCGCTCGAGAAGCAAATCACACAGTGGCGCTAGTGTTTGACAACTTCACGCCACGCCAACACACCTGTGTTCCTCTCAAAGTGCCAGGCCGGGAGCACTTGGTCCCGCACGTCCCTTGTTTCTGCAGCAGCCACTTGAGAGGAAACTTTGAGCGCAATTTTGAGCAATCGGCCACGAGGAGATCGCAAGAGAGAGCAACTGGACGGTGTCTGCCATGCTAGGTGCGCCGTCTCCGGGCTGCTTGAGCAGCTTCACCTCAAAAGCTCTGAGATTCCTGGCTGAGCAAGGCCTGCTGCATGCGCTGCTTTCGCAGCCACTCGAAAGGACACGTTGAGTGCATTTGCCGCTATCAGCGTGACCCAGGGGCGCACTTCACCGGCACACATCTGCAGACAAACATACTGGATTCAGGCCATTGGCATGCTGAAACGCTCCTCGTCAAAGCGTCTCTTGGGGACAACGGCTATGCTTCCACTGGCAGAAACTACTCGATCAAACACCTTAGAAGGTGACTTTTGTGCTTTTAACTTCAAACGACCAATGGCAACACTAAAACCAAGTATTACAACAACCAAAGTGGATTCATGGGGGTTGATGCCGTATTGAGTTCAACCATAAGTATGTTCAAAAAGCAGGTAGTTTGTTTCAGTGGAAAATGTTGGTGGAAATTGGGGGGGGGGGGGAATCCTAGATACCCGTTCGAGGGATTTACAATTGGATAAGCCGTGCAAGAAGGATTGCATCCATCAAGTCAAACTTAAATCAAGAGGCAATACTGGAAAGAGTACATTACAGTAGCCAAACCTTTACACCACTATGTTTCCACACCATTGTGCGTCACTGGTGTACACTCTTGAATCATTACAATGGCAAAAACTATTTTCTTAAACTATAGCTTTGATCCCGGCGTTCGGTGGGTTGAACAAACGAAGGTTACAGTCAAAATACGATTCACAACTATTGCTGGTTGAAGTAAAGTGGACCGCCAGCCAATTGTGATACAGCCCGTTCCGGTTTACACGCATAAGGCAATCTAAGTAAATTGGGATAACATCCACCAGCCCAAAGTAAAGGTTCCACACGAAAGGAACATCTGTCGCTTGTAAGGGGGGGCTCATTTCTCTTTGTTTTCCTTAATTGAAAGAAACAACTCATCTATACCAAGGCGGGCCCTCATGACTTGTAGTGCCAAACTGTCCTGCCTGTCCTAGAAGCTGAAAGACTACAGTAGCCATTTGAAGGGCACTGAGCAACCTATTTTGCGGCTAAGGGAGCTCACTGCCTGGTACTAAGGGAGGTTCAACCTGTACATAGAAATGTCCGAAAGAAGAAAACCAAAAGGTCAGGTCTGGTCGCTTCGCGCTCGTTTGATGTGAGTACTACCTGAGTGGGACTGCCACCCAAACAACTATAAAACGCAACGAAGCCAGGTAGATAAGGAACCACTCGCTACAATGGCCATCAGGAATCTTTGTTGGTCGCTGCTCAAGTGCGTCTTAGGGTGCATGACACTGTAGTTCTGCTGACCTACTACAGTACAAGAACCCAAGGGACAGTTGCTTGCTACATTGGCGAGTGATCCTCTGGGTGGAGATACACACACCGCAAAAGAAACATCCTCAAAACTACACTCCAAATGGTGCCTGAAAGAAAAACTACGCCACAATTATGAAAAGCAACAATCATATCTTTCATGCACACACACACACCAAAAAAACAGAGGAACTGCAACCACTTTAACGGACACAACAGAACACCAAAAAAACACTCATACGCCGCAAAAACAATCACCAACAT